TGTCAGGGTCAACCAGAAAGGGCAGCCGGGAATCAAGGACAATGTCCAAGCTGTCAACCTCAGATTTATTCTGCCTCTGGCAAAGGACCTCATTTTAAAAAGTTATTATTAGGGTCAAAGCAGGTTTTATAATAATGACAATTTTAAAAGAAGCGGTTCCCACATCCGGTGTTCTTTCCTAAGCAACTGGAAGAAGAAATAGCTCCCAAATCCTTGATACGAGGGTTGAATGAAAAGTAATGCCTCCGCCTTCGTAACTCCTCAACAGATGGCAGTACCCTCAAGATATCCTATTTAATTTTATTTATTTATTTATTTATTTATTTATTTATTGTTTGAACTTATATGCCGCCACTCCCCTGGGGCTCGGAGCGGCTTACAAGAATAGCTAAAATCTAACAAAGTTTAAAAGCAATTTAAAACAATTTAAAAACAACAGTATCAAACATTAAAAGCCTGTCGGAACAGGTATGTCTTACATGCCCTGCGGAAAGCTGGTAAGTCCCGCAGGGCACGAACTTCAGGTGGCAGAGCATTCCAGACTGATGGCGCCACTGCTGTGAAGGCTCTGCGTCTGGTTGCCGTTAGACGCAAGGTCTTGACACTGGGGACTTCCAATAGATCTTGGTCCTCAGAACGGAGGGATCTCTGGGGTTGGTAGGGGGTGAGGCGGTCCCTCAGGTACATCGGCCCCAGACCATGCAAGGCCTTAAAGGTGAGTACCATCACTTTGAAAGTGATCCGGTGCTCAGTTGGTAACCAATGCAGCTGCAGTAAGATTGGTGTTATGTGGCATCTCATCGGAATTCCCGCAAGAAGCCGAGCAGCTGCGTTTTGTACCAACTTGAGCTTCCGAATCACCGACAGAGGAAGGCCAATGTAGAGGGCGTTACAGTAGTCCAGTCTTGAGATGACTGTGGCCTGGATCACCGTAGCTAGGTCGTCCCTGGACAGGGAGGGGGCCAGCCGTCTAGCCTGCCGCAGGTGAAAAAAGGCGGTTCTGCTAACGGCGGAGAGAGACCTGGGCCTCCATCGTCAGCAGAGGGTCCAAAAGGACTCCCAGACTCTTACCAATGATGACAGGCGTAGCGCCTCGCCATCCAGGGTAGGCAGATGGATGTCCCCACTGCCCGGTCGACCCAGCCATAGGATCTCCGTCTTTGCTGGATTCACCCTCAACCTGCTGGCACGCAGCCATCCAGTAACGGCCTCGAGGCACTGATGGAAACAATCGGGTACAGAGTCCGGTCGGCCTTCCATCTTCAGCACAAGCTGAGTGTCATCAGATAACGGGAGCCAGAATTGTATATGCAAGAAACTGGAAGGCTAAAGAAAATCCATTATTATTAGTATTTGATACACAACAAGATTAGTACACAGCAAACGAGATCACTATGTATTCTTGAAGACTTTCATGGCTGGAATGACTGGGTTGTTGTAAGTTTTGGGCTATCTGGCCATGTTCCAGAAGCATTCTCTTCTGATGTTTTGCCTGCATCCATGGTAGGTATCCTCAGAGATTGTGAGGTCTGTTGGAAGCTAGGAAAATTAGGCTTGGGTAACCACAGAAAAATTTGGTTCTAAACTCGTTTTGTTTTTAGGGGGCCCTTGCGTTTCGTTTTTTTAAAATAATTCCTGAAATTTTCCTTTTAAAAATTTCGAAATATACGAAATTTCGTAAAATTACGAATCGATTCGTTAATGGCGGACGCGATTGCGCAATATGCTAAAAAAACCTCCAAATGGGACAGGAGAACTTCTGAAGCTTCCCTCTCCCTCTGCTGTTGACTGTTGGTGTGATAAAACAAACAACAACTATAAAACTTGCACCAAACACTTAATAATTACAAAATAATTACGAAATAATTACGAAATAATTACGAAATAATTACGAAATAAATTGAAAAAATTGTTTCGAATCTTTATTACTCCTCACACAATTCCTGCATGGCTCAATATTGGATCGTAAGCTAATTTAAATACGAATTAATAACGAATTACGAAATTAACGAACGAAACCGCCCAAGCCTATTTACTACAGCTTTAGTTATCAATTGTAGGAGAAAGAACTCTTCTCTGTTGGAGATAGGTGTGAATGTTCAAATTGGCCACCTTAATTAGCATTTAATGGCCTAGCAGTTTCAAGGTGTGGCTTCTAACTGACTGGGGGAATGTTATACACAAAGCTACTAATATTTGCATTTAGATGTGAATGAGAGCTGTCGATAATTTGAAACTAACTTGGAAAGAGAAGGGTATCACAACATCTTGTTAAGCAAGTCTAACAAGCCTTTGGTCCTTCAGATACTTTGGACTATAATTCCCATTAGTCCCATCCAGAATGGCTTATGGGGGTTATAGTGCAGAGCAGCTCCCACTAAATCCAATGCCTCCCGTTATCCTGGAAAGGTGGTTAATCCTAATATTTCACAAAGGAGCACCTTGAAAATCGTAAAGTTGGGCGCTTTCGGGGTTAGTGCTCCAATAAGCGCATGGAAGATGTTGCTGTCAAACACTGAGACAAGTATCCTAAGCATAAATAATAGACTTGTTTGATCCAAAAAAAGATTCAAAACTCATTTTGGATGGTTTGATTCTAAAGTCAATTCCAATTTTCACAGAAAAATAATCTTCCAAAGTTTTTGAAACTCCTGAGACTTCCGAATCCTTACATTAATGGTTTGAAAATGTTATTTCCTGTTTCATTGGGTGGCCTTTACTTTGAAAGTGGTTGTTTTCCTCCAGAAGCAGGGAAAAGCAAGCGGAGGAAATTCCTTCCTTCTCTGGTTTAAAACTGGCTTCTCTGGCTTGAGCCGAGGCCAGGGACCAGAAGCGGGGAAAAACAAGTGGAATAAATTCCTTCCTTCTCTGGTTTAAAACTGGCTTCTCTGGTTTGAGCTGAGGCCAGGAACCAGAAGCAGGGAAAAGCAAGCGGAGTAAATTATTTCCTTCTCTGGCTTTAAAACTGGCTTCTCTGGCTTGAGCCGAGGCCCGGGACCAGAAGCGAGGAAAAGCAAGTGGAGGAAATTCCTTCTTTCTCTGATTTAAATTGGTTTCTCAGGCTTGAGCTGAGGCCAGGAAATTCCTTCCTTCTCTGGTTTAAAATGGGCTTCTCTGGTTTAAAACTGGCTTCTCTGGCTTGAGCCGAGGCCAGGGACCAGAAGCGGGGAAAAGCAAGCGGAGGAATTTCCTTCCTTCTCTGGTTTAAAACGGGTTTCTCTGGCTTCAAAAACTGGCCTCTCTGGCTTGAGCTGAGGCCAGGGACCAGAAACGGGGAGGCCAGGAAATTCCTTCCTTCTCTGGTTTAAAACCAGCTTCTCTGGCTTGAGCCAAGGCCAGGAAATTCCTTCCTTCTCTGGTTTAAAACTGGCTTCTCTGGCTTGAGCTGAGTCCAGGAAATTCCTTCCTTCTCTGGTTTAAAGTTTAAAACTGGCTTCTCTGGCTTGAGCTGAGGCCAGAGAAATTCCTTCCTTCTCTGGTTTAAAACTGGCTTCTCTGGCTTGAGTTGAGGCCAGGAAATTCCTTCCTTCTCTGGTTTAAAACTGGCTTCTCTGGCTTGAGCTGAGGCCAGGAAATTCCTTCCTTCTCTGGTTTAAACTGGCTTCTCTGGCTTGAGCCAAGCGGGGAAAAACAAGTGGAATAAATTCCTTCCTTCTCTGGTTTAAAACTGGCTTCTCTGGCTTGAGCCGAGGCCAGGAAATTCCTTCCTTCTCTGGTTTAAAACTGGCTTCTCTGGCTTGAGCCGAGGCCAGGGACCAGAAGCGGGGAAAAGCAAGGAGGAAATTCCTTCCTTCTCTGGTTTAAAACTGGCTTCTCTGGCTTGAGCTGAGGCCAGGAAATTCCTTCCTTCTCTGGTTTAAAACTGGCTTCTCTGGCTTGAGCCGAGGCCAGGGACCAGAAGCGGGGAAAAACAAGTGGAATAAATTCCTTCCTTCTCTGGTTTAAAACTGGCTTCTCTGGCTTGAGCCGAGGCCAGGAAATTCCTTCCTTCTCTGGTTTAAAACTGGCTTCTCTGGCTTGAGCCGGGTCCAGGAAATTCCTTCCTTCTCTGGTTTAAAACTGGCTTCTCTGGCTTTAAAACTGGCTTCTCTGGCTTGAGCCGAGGCCAGGGACCAGAAGCGGGGAAAAGCAAGCGGAGGAATTTCCTTCCTTCTCTGGTTTAAAACGGGTTTCTCTGGCTTCAAAAACTGGCCTCTCTGGCTTGAGCTGAGGCCAGGGACCAGAAACGGGGAAAAGCAAGCGGAGTAAGTTCCTTCCTTCTCTGGTTTAAATCTGGTTTCTCTGGCTTGAGCAGAGGCCAGGGACCAGAAGTGGGGAAATGCAAGCGGAGTAAATTCTTTCCTTCTCTGGTTAACAGGCTTCTCTGGCTTGAGCCAAGCCCAGGGACTGCGGTTAAAAGCGAGCGGGGAAAATTTCTTCCTTCTCTGGTTTAAAACTGGCTTCTCTGGCTTTAGTCAAGGCCAGAGACCAGAAGAGGGGGAAAGTGAGCAGAGGAAATTCCTTCCTTCTCTGGTTTAAAACTGGCTTCTCTGGCTTGAGCCGAGGCCAGAGACCAGAAGCGGGGGAAAGAAAGCGGAGGAAATTCCTTCCTTCTCTGGTTTAAAACTGGCTTCTCTGGCTTGAGCTGAGGCCAGGGACCAGAAGTGGAGAAAAGCAAGCTGAGTAAATTCTTTCCTCTGGTTAAAAACTGGCTTCTCTGGCTTGGGCTGAGGCCAGGAAATTCCTTCCTTCTCTGGTTTAAAACTGGCTTCTCTGGCTTGAACCTAGGGCAGGGACCAGAAGCGGGGAAAGCTGGATCATTTCTGACTCACTTCATGAGTCGTAACAAAAATGGCGGAAAAAGTTTTGGAAGGGCAAAGGGAGTTCCAGTTTTCTGAAAAACTTCAAAATCGCTTCGGAAAGGTAATTTTTCCAAATTTATTCTGAATTACGCAGATTCCGACAGTACCTAACCATGCCTAATAAATAACATGGAAAGAGACATTTCTTCTGCTTCGAGTGGTCGCTGATTCATGTTGAGTCATCTTCAGCACAGGTTAAGGCCGAACGTCCCCTTTCTGTTGCCACATTCAGAATTTGGTTTTCTTGTCAGTAAAGAAGAACCGTCTGGGCTTGTCACTCTGTTGGAGAATTCAGCACAATTAGGATTGGATTTCAGAAGGAAAGAGAATCAATTCTGAGCAAAGGTCACAAGAAAGAGACAATAACATTAACAATAACAATAGCATTGCGCAAACCTTGTTTAACATTCACACAAATGACCAGCCACTGCCAGAAGGGACAGAGAGTTTCATCTATGCTGACGATTGTGCCATCACCACTCAAGCAGGGAGCTTTGAGATGGTTGAACAGAAGCTCTCCAAAGCTTTAGGTCAGTGTTTCTCGATCTGTGGGTCATAGAATAGAATCATAGAATCATAGAATCACTCTCGAAGATTTGTTGAAACCACCAAGTCTTCAAACTCTTACGAAAAGAGGGGAGGGATGGAGCCTGTCTTATTTCCCTTGGAAGGCATTCCAGAGGTGGGGGGCCACCACCGAGAAGGCCCTCTCTCTCGTCCTAGGAAATATGTCGCCAAAGCAGCAAACTCTAGAATTTATTTATACACAGCCACCATCTCCCCCAACAGGGACTCGGGGCGGCTTACATGAGGCCAGGCCCAATTAACACATTACAATAAAATAAAATACGAATTACAATAATAAATATACAGTAAATAAATAAATAAATAATGAAAGGACCAAGGCAGTGACATCTCTGGCCCATCCTCTTTTTGGATATCAGCCAGCACGCCAATACCTTAAATCAAGAAACAGTTTCTTAAGACTTGCAGAGATACTTGAAGGAACCCCCTCAGCAAGCAAAAGTCCAAAAGTGGCAGGCTAAACCCGGAGCCTCAATCAGTGGCTGATATCAGATGAGAGACTCCCTCCTGGGCACACAGAAGACTGGGTGACTTGGAAGGTGCTGAACAGGCTGTGCTCTGGCACCATGAGATGCAGAACCAGTCTTAAGAAATGGGTCTATTAAGTGGAGTCCATGAAATGTGAATGTGGAGAAGAGCAAACCACAGACCTCCTACTACAATGTAACCTTAGCCCTGCCACAGGCACAAGGGAGGACTATAACGAACTGTGGGGAAAAGTAGGGAACGTAATTCAATAATAAAAATCCCCAACTCTGCTTCACCAAATTATAATGACCACACAGCAGCCTAACCAAATTATAACGATGACACCACTACAGATTAGCTCACCAAAATAAAGAGGGAGAATAGTGGTTGATAAACCAACTGTATATTTAAAAGCTAGGAACTGAGAGGCTTAAAATTATTCTTTAAAATATTTCCACTGCCACCATAATACTAACAGACAGGCTGAGGTACTATTGAGGTACTATTGAGAGGTTGTTCTGTGACCCACTCTGTGTCACTATAGGTTTCCTAGAGGCTGTTGAAAGCTGACTTGAATAACGCTTTTACCACAAAGGTATTAACACTGAGGCTGGTATAAGTTGGTAAAAATAACGAACTTTTATTGAACAAACTTGAATATTTCAGGTACAAATGCTTGATGGTTTCAATAAAGTTCTGGCATACAAAAAGCTTGTGGTTACGTTTGAGAAGAGATCTTAAAAACTTCTGGGTTAAAAGTCTTAAAGTTTCCATACAGATAATTACCGTATATACTCGAATATAAGCCGACCCAAATATAAGCCGAGGCACCTAATTTTACCACAAAAAACTGGGAAATCTTATTGACTTGAGTATAAGCCGAGGGTGAAAAATGCAACCGCTACTGGTCAGTTTGACAGATGACCACCCAGTTTTCTGTCATTCCCTTCCCCCCTCGCGGAGCGTGAGCTTTCCTCGGCGGCGGCAGAGGAGAAGGAAGCCCCTGAGGCAGGCTTTTCCGCAGGCTTGCTCTCCTTCTTCCTGGTCCCATGCGCGGCCGTGGTGGCGGGGGCAGCGGCGGGAGGAGGCAGAAAAGCCACACATGGCGCGAGGGGGGAGGGGAAAGTGCTCACCGCTCCCCTTCCTCTCTTGCCGCACGCGCACTTTCTTCCTTGTCCCATGCGCGGCCACGGTGGTGGGGGCAGTGGCGGGAGGACGCAGGAAAGCCGCGCATGGTGTGAGGGGGGTGGGGAAGTGTGCACCACTCCCCTTCCTCTCTTGCAGCATGTGCACCTTTTTCGGTGGCGGAGGCAGGAAAGATGCGTGAGGGAGAAGGGAAAGGTGCGCGCCTTTCTCTCCTCCCTTGCCCTGTGCGCGCCTTTACCGCCGCTGCCGAGGCTGCCGAGGAAGCCTTGCCTTTCCCTCCTCCTCCGTTATCCCCTGACCCAAATATAAGCCGAGGGGAGGTTTTTCAGCCTGAAAAAAGGCTGAAAAACCCGGCTTATATTCGAGTATATACGGTACTTCAGGAAATGAATCTCGGAAAGTAACTCCCACAAAAATCCCCCTCAGGAATCTAGCCAAAACCTGAACTAGCCTTCCTCAGGAAAAGAACAGACCACTAATGGGGTTCTGCTCCACACAGTATTCTAGCTATATTTCTCTATCGCTACCCTGAATACTAAACAAAAGACTGCCCCAAAGTCCTTCTTCAAAACCCCAAACCGTTCTCACTAACACCCAACATCTTTGCTCTACCCTTTCCAAGCTCCAACTCCAAACTCAACTGGCAATCTGGGAACTCAAGCCTCAGTTTAAAAGTCACTTTTTTCCTTCAGATCACTTAGGCTCCGCCCCTATTTTCCAAACCAATCTTAGCCTTCTGATTTTCCCTCCAAGACTAGGACACGCCCCCTCAAGGCAAACCTAACCTAAGATGGCATCTCACTGTCTCCCTTCTCCAAAATGGATGCCGTGGTTTCGCCAGGCCCACTCTCTTAGGCCTAAGTAAGCTTGCCAATGTAAGAGATTCATTACAAGGACCTTCTTATAGAGGCACTCCAAGTGGCCAACTTTTGATACAAGAAATAAATACAATAAAAAGAAAAATTATGAAGACTAGAATACTTGGAAACATATCTACTGACATGGAGCGTTACCAACACTAGAAGATATATTTCCAAGTGTTCCTGGAAACTGGGTCAGTGGTGGAGGAAAAAAGGAGTAGGGAGCGGACAGGTATTTATTTTAATTTTCTGATACCTTTTGACTTGGCTTTGCCTCAACTCCTTTGACAGGGCTGAAGGTGGTTTGCTTGTAGGGGTTCTCCATGGTGAGGGCATGCTTTTTCGATGGGGAACCTTTGGTGAAATGAAGAGGGATCTTTTCGTATGGATCCTCAGCCTCTGGCTTCAAGGATCCTCGACTCTTTGGAGAGATCTGGTCGTAAGTCTCCTTGACCAGCTTTTCTGACTCAGGCTCAGGAACGACGTTCTTCATCCACCCAAAAGAGACCTCTTCGTAAGCATTGCTCGTCTTGTCACTGGTGGACGTTGCAGATTGCTGGGATTTCATCTTGTGGATCTGGCCGTACATGGGTGACTCGGGCAAGGTTTTGGCATGGTTTGACTTCTGAGGATCTTTGTCCAACGCAGGAGAGGTAAGGTGTGGTGCAAGTGGTGGTTGTGAACCTTGGAGCTCCATGGATGCCTTTGGTTTGCTAGGTAACTTCGGAGACAGCTTTGGAGGAGTTGACGTTGGGGAGCTTAGTGTTGTCTTCCTTGATGGAGTCAGGGAGGATTGACCACTCCGGGAATCAGGAAACAACCAGGAACCCTTGTCTTGGTCCAGGCCAATTTCGGAATAAATTGTCTCCAGGTGAGTAGCTTCTACCAGATTGATTTTTTTGCTGTGGGATCGATCCACTTGCTTAGCCATGGCAAACAGAGAGCTTGTTTTCTTTCTGCTAGAAGAAGAGTTGGCTTGGTCTAGACCTTCAGGCTTCTGTGACTCTTCTGTGTCTCCTTTAGAGGGTTTTCTCGGCACTTCTGGGCTCCTGTTATCTACACAGTCCTTCTTGACAAAGTTCCCTTCACCGTTTGGATCTTCCTCAAAGGACTGGGATATCAGCAGGTTGCTCCTGGCTGGAAGTGGTGGGGCATCATCGGGGTCCTGGGGTGAGATAAGAATAGGGAGGGAAAGGGAGAAAAGGGAGGAAGAAGAATGAAGATAATTGATGGAAGTCAAGAGTAGAAAACTGCAAAAGTCAATGAGGTAATATGCTGGGACTCAGTCTGTGATTGAACCTGAGCCTGTATTTGAACCTGTGAATGTGTTTCAGTCTGTTGCATCCCAGTTCAAGAAACGAGACCATAAGATTAAATCCACCACACTGGACTGTAGGAAAAACAATCCTTGTTTATTGATGAAAAATTGGTTACAAAAGAAAGGTAAATGCAAAGTCAAAAAGCCACAGAAAAACACAGCAGTCAGTAGAATCTCTGAACTTGAGCAAAATTTCAAAAGCCACAATACAAGAACCAGGAACCTGTTAGCCTTTTACTAACCATGAACTTGATAACTAGAAGCCTCTGGGATTACCGGCCATGAAACACAGGAATTCTGCCAAGGCACAGCCACAGTCCCAAACGTTGCTTGATCTAAAGAGGCACCCGGCAGGAGGCCTCTTAAACCAAAGAAGTTATTCTTTGAAACGCCCCTTGACTTTGACGTCTGGGCCTGTCTCTCCTGTAAACGATGTGACCTTCGTAGAAACTGGGAAACATTTCTGTCTCTAACTATCTGTTGCCTCATTAAAAACCCCAGGTGGAGAGATATCACGGCTAGTGATATCACGGCTAACTTCCAAAACATTTTCCTCCAGCTGTTGAGTTTCATTTTCATCCCTGCTGACCTCTGCATCAACAACAGATTCCATACTGTCAGAGTCAGGGAGAGCTTGCTCAGTTGGAAAAACTATCAGAGAATCCTGTTTACACAGATCAGGATCAGGCTGAACCCCAACACTGATCTTACCTCGGTGGTGTTGTGGCTCACTTTGAGCCTGTTCCTCTCTCAGTTTCCACCTTTATATTCAGTTTACTTCATTTGCTGCAAACTGAGATCAAAGTGGAAATGTCATTTACACTTAGTTGACACTAGGGCTGGGCGGTTTCGTTCGTTAATTTTGTAATTCGTTATTAATTCGTTATTTTTTGATAACGAAGCGATATTGAACCATTCAGGAGCAACTAAAAAATGAAACGAATTTTTCAATTCGTTTCGTAATTGTTTCGAAATAAATTGTTTCGAAATCGTTTTGTTATTATTTCCGCATGTCTGGTGCAAGTTTTATAGTTGTTGTTTGTTTTCTCAGTGAAAAAAATATAATTATCGCACCAACAGTCAACAACAGAGGGAGAGGGAAGCTTCAGAAGTTCCCCCTGTCCCATTTGGAGGTTTTTTTAGCGTATTGCGCGATCGCGCCCGCCATTAACGAATCGATTCGTTATTGTTTTGTGATTTCCGAAATTTTGTAAATTTCGAACTTTTTAAAAGAAAAAATTTGGAATTCTTTTAAAAATCGAAACGCAAAAACCCCCTAAAAACGAATCGAGTTTAGAAACAATTTTTTCCGTGGTTGCCCAGCCCTAATGAGCATCATGCAGACACTGACAGAGAGGTTTTGGTGCAAAAGGCAGATTCTCATGAGAATGTTCCTGTCAGGCCTTGGAGAAAGGTTTACTCCCTTCGTCTGTGAGCTCTCCAGATTCTAGTTTGGAAAACAGTCTGACACCTGCTAATGAAGTTAATGAGGAGTCAGATAAGCAGAGTCAGCAGCTGGAGATTAGCCAGAATTGACAAGAGGCCCAATGTTTACGCAGATCCAAAAGAATCCGTCAATTAAAGTCAAAGACTGGAGGAAAACGAAACCAGTTTTTGGGATTTAAGGTTTGCCTGTAGAAAATCTTGTCAGATCAGGCATTGTTTGGAAACCAAGCTCAAGCCTCACGGAATTCCTGTTCAAGTGATCTCGTCTTCATGGTTTTTTTCTAGCCTTTCAACTTGACTAGCAGCGTCTGGTCTGTTCTTGCTTCTTGGTTGATTCCTGTCTGGATAATCAGTGCCTTGGATTATTATTTTATGCTTTTTGAACATTGCTTTTGACTGCCACGTTTGGACACTGTGTCTTTTTGCTGCTTTTAAATGCCTTATTGCTTTTTGGAATCTTATCTATCTTTACAAGCATTTATTTCTACTGGCTTTTTTGCTACGTTAATAAAAAGGATTGTTCCTTCACTCAACGTATGGTGTGTTTATAGTCAGAGGGGCTATTTCCTGTTCTGAATTGCAACAGAATACTGTAAAAACACAATGCAGAGCAGAAGAGAAAACTGGCCAAAGAAGGATCTCCATGGACATAGTCCAGTCCATCACTGATGACAACCACTGGTTTAGGGGAAGGGCGGCATCCTTGGTATTAGGTGAAAAGGAGTAATAGAGTTGGGTGTCATCCGCATAAATTTGACACCGATCTCCAAAATTCCAGATGATCTCTCCCAGTGGTTTCATGTAAATGTTGAACAGCATGGGGGGCAGAATTGAGCCCTGAAGGATCCCATAGGCCACAGGCCAAGGAGTCGAACAGGTGTTCTCCAGCTCCACCTTCTGGGTCCAGCCCTCCAGGAAAGACCTGAGCCACTGTAAAACAGTGCCCCCAAGGGACCACTTGACTAGGAGACCACTTTGACCAGGGACCACTTGAACAGGGACAATTTGACCAGGGACCACTTGATTGGAGACCACTTGACTGGGACACCACGTGGACAGGGACCACTTAGACCAGGACCCACTTGGCCAAGGGCCACTTTGACCAGAGACCACTTGACCAGGGCCCACGTGACCAAGAACTTCTTTGACCAGGGCCCACGCTCCAACATTAGTACCATGTATTTCTGGAAAGGAGCAGAAATACAATAAATAAAATAACATAAATAAATAAAAAGGAAGGAGGTTGCAAACCTGATTTTTGTTCTCGTGGCCCACTGCTGGGCCCACTGGTTGGGAACCACTGTCCTCTATCCGTAGATAACCTTCACAGTACATCTGGAAAGGTTTCGGTCAAGGGAAATTTCCTCTAATCAGAGGTAGGGATGGAGTCAACCTCAAGAGGTTGATGGACCTCAACACCCATCACTGTTTTGCAGCAGAGGCAATGCTGAGGGTGGATGGGATGGCATTTCTCCAACATCGGGAGAGATACATTTTCTCCCTCCTTGTCTTAGTTCTTCCTCCTGTTATTCCAAACCCACCTCTGTACTCGGGTCTCCTTTCTCCTTGGATAAAGACTTCTGTTGATCCCAAAGCTTCTTTCCTGGTTTCGCAGGCTGGCTGTTGACGTTCTCCTTTGCTGGCTTGGTGGTTGATGGACTGGTCCGGACTGGGACACCTGCCGCGGAGCTGTGTTTGGAAGATGTCTGCCGATCCAAAGTGATTTCGTCATACACACTTGTCTCTTCGTCCTGCGAAAGGGTAGGGAGAAAGGGAATGGAAAGAAACACCAATGAAGTAACACCATCCTGGAAAGAAGTGACAAGTGGAGTGCCGCAGGGTTCCGTCCTGGGCCCGGTCTTGTTCAACACCTCTATTAATGACTTAGATGAAGCATTAGAAGGCACAATCATCAAGTTGGCAGACAACACCAAATTGGAAGGGAAAGCCAATACTCCCGAAGACAAGAGCAGAATTCAAAACGATCTTCATAGATTAGAGAGATGATTGGCCAAAACTAACAAAATGAAGTTCAATGAGGACAAATGCAAGATACTCCACTTAGGCAGAAAAAACGAAAGGCAAAGATACAGAATGGGGAACGTGTGCTTCGAGAGTAGTAAATGTGAAAAAGGTCTTGGGGTCCTCGTGGACAAGTTAAACATGAGCCAACAATGTGATGCGGCAGCAAAACAAAGCCAATGGGATTTTGGCCTGCATCAATAGGAGTCTAGTGTCTAGATCCAGGGAAGTCATGCTCTAGGGGGTGTTCAGAGGGATCACAAAAGACCATCTGAATATATATATATATATATATATATATATATATATATATATCTGAAGGAATTAGAAACCCCTTTGGCAGAGAAGGCTGAAGATCTCTCTGCCTGTCCTTTTCTTGCTTTTTGGAAACAGATGGCAAATCCTCCCACGAAAAGCCCTCTTTCTGCTGTGATTGTAGGTGAACAATAAATCACATCAACTACAAATGTTAAAGTCTATTTTCCCCAAACTCCACCAGTGTTCACATTTGGGCATATTGAGTATTTCTGCCAAGTTTGATCCAGATCCATCATTGTTTGAGTCCACAGTGCTCTCTGGATGTAGGTGAACTACAACTCCAAAACTCAAGGTTAATGCCCACCAGAACCTTCCAGTATTTTCTGTTGGCCATGGGAGTTCTGTGTAACAAGTTTGGTTCAATTCCATCATTGGTGTTCAGAATGCTCTTTGATTGTAGGTGAACTATAAATCCGAGCAGCTACAACTCCCAAATGTCAAGGTCTATTTTCCCCAAACTCCACTAGTGTTCACATTTGGGCAGATTGAGTATTCGTGCCAAGGTTGGTCCAGATCCATCATTGTTTGAGTCCACAATTCTCTCTGGATGTAGGTGAACTACAACTCCAAAACTCAAGGTCAATGCCCACCAAATCCTTCCAATATTTTTTTTTGGTCCCGGAAGTTCTGTGTGCCAAGTTTGGTTCAATTCCATCACTGGTGGGGTTCAGAATGCTCTTTGATTGTATGTGAACTATAAACCCCAGAACTGTAACTCCCAAATGTCAAGGTGTATTTTCCCCAAACTCCACCTGTGTACACATTTGGGCAGATTGAGTATTCGTGCCAAGGTTGGTCCAGAACTATCATTGTTTGAGTCCACAGTTCTCTCTGGATGTAGGTGAACTACAACTCCAGAACTCAAGGTCAATGCCCACCAAATCCTTCCAATATTTTTTTTTTAGTTGTGGAAGTTTTGCGTGCCAAGTTTGGTTCAATTCCATCACTGGTGGGGTTCAGAATGCTCTTTGATCGTAGGTGTACTATAAATCCCAGCAACTACAACTATCAAGGTCTATTTTCCCCAAACTCCACCAGTGTTTACATTTGGGCACATTGAGTATTCGTGCCAAGTTTAGTCCAGATACATCATTGTTTGAGTTCACAGTGCTCTCTGGGTGGAGGTGAACTAAAACTCCAAAACTCAAGGTCAGTGCCCACCAAACCCTTCCAGTATGTTCTGTTGGTCATTTGAGATCTGTGTGCCATGTTTGGTTCAATTTCATCATTGGTGATGTTCAGAATGCTCTTTGATTGTAGGTGAACTACAACTCCCAAATGACAAACTCAATCCCCACCAATATTCAAATTTGGGCGTATGGGGTATTTGTGCCAAATTTGGTCCAGTGAATGAAAATATATCCTGCATATTGTAGATTTACATGACGATTTATAACAGTAGCAAAATGACAGTTATGAAGTAGCAACGAAAATAATGTTATGGTTGGGGGTGACCACAACATGAGGAACTGCATTAAGGGGTCGCGGCATTAGGAAGGTTGAGAACCACTGGTGTAGAGGATCACAACTCCCAGCATTCCATAACATTGAGCCATTGCATTTAAATGGTTTCAAACCACATTCATTCTGCAGTGTAGATGCGACCTCAGGGACTCACCTTTGAGCAGGCCACGGTAAGCTTTTCACTATAAGGCTCAAGGTCGGTCTTTTGGTAGAAGCCGACCAGTTCGGCCAGGCTTTGGTGGGTCTGGGTGTCCCCCGAAATGGCGTAGCGTCCGTTGCGTTGACCGGCAATGACAAAATGCCGGATTCGGTCTTTCCCCCTGCAATGAAGACCACCCCCCCAAAAAGGAAGATGCAAATTACAAAAGAGATTCCAATTACATTCGGAAATGCTCCTGGACGGTAAGATCCAATTGACCATAGAATAGCCCACCAATTTTTTCTCTTTCATCGGGCGACTATCAGCCAAGGTTGGATCACCACCTCTCAGAGAGACTGTAATTTTGTGGATGCGTCTACACGATAGAATTAATGCCGTTTGACACCACTTAGGTAAAGGTAAAGGTAGTCCCCTGACATTAAGTCCAGTCATGTCTGACTCTGAGGTGTGGTGCTCATCTCCATTTCTAAGCCGAAGAGCAAGCGTTGTCCGTAGACACCTCCAAGGTCATGTGGCCAGCATGACTGCATGGAGCGCCGTTACCTTCCCGCCGGAGCGGTACCTATTGATCTACTCACATTTGCATGTTTTCGAACTGCTAGGTTGGCAGAAGCTAGGGCTGACAGCTGAAGCTCACGCCGCTCCCCGGAATCGAACCTGCGACCTTTCGATCAACAAGCTCAGCAGCTCAGTGCTTTAATCCACTGCGCCACCGGGGGCTCCTGACACCACTTAAACTGCCATAATTCAAAACTGCATGCAATAACATGCTGCAGAAACTTACTGGCAGCGCATGGGATGCAGACCCAAAATTAATAAGATCAACCCTGGCCTTGTCTCACTCAACTGCCGAGTATACCTGCCCTGTTTAGCATAGGTCTGCCCATGCAAAGCAGGTGAACATAGCATTGAATGAAACATGCAGAATAATCACAGGATGTCTTCAACCTACACCTGTTGATGAACAACTGCACTGCATCCTGTCAGATCCCCAAAATCTGGAGAAAAGCAAGAGTCGTCGCCATCTTGAAGCCAGGCAAAGACCGCAATGACCCAAAAAGCTACAGACCAATCTCCCTGTTGTGCCACCTCTACAAAGTTCTGGAGAGACTTATTTTGCATAGAATTATGGGAAAAAATAGACCCATGTCTGATCCCACAGCAAGCTGGCTTCAGGAAAGGCAAAAGCTGCACATCGCAAGTGCTGAACCTGACTCAGCACATAGAAGATGGCTTTGAAAGGCAGCAGATCACAGGAGCTGTCTTCATAGACCTGTCAGCGGCTTATGATACTGTGAACCACCGCCTCCTCCTGAGAAAATGTATAATATCACAAAGGACTACCACCTCACCCGCCTCATAGGAAACCTGCTACAAAACAGGAGCTTTTTTGTTGAGTTCCAGGGCCAGAGAAGCAGATGGCGGAAACAGAAGAATGGCCTGCCTCAGGGGAGCGTGCTTGCTCCATCCATGTTCAACTAGGCCTGTGCGATTTCGTTCGTTAATTCATTAATTCGTTAATAATTCGTTAATTTTACCATTTCCGAAGCGATATTGAAGCAAATCTCCAAACCCGGAAGGGTTTATAAATATCGAACCAGCAGCCCCCATAGTATTTACGAGCCTCCGCTCGTTTCGTTAATGGGGTGGAGGCTGCTGGAGTGCTGGTGCATGGGAGCCAATCCGGCGCTCCCAAGCAGTGCACCATGGGTCCGTGGCTGTCTCTTTTTGATTGGCCGGCGAGCCCTTTCAAAGCGGCTCCGCGCGGCCCGTAGCTTGCTGCAGAGGGAGTTTGCATTGGGTTGGCTTGGCAATGGCTGCCTGCTAGCAACGAACTGGGATTGGATTCATTCCTTGCTGCTGTGAGTGCTGCTTGCTTCATTTGCTGTCTCTTGCCTGTGTTTGGTCCACATTTGGGCCATTTTTGGTTAATTTTCCATTTTAAAATATTTTTAATATTATTTTTAATATTATTTTTAATATTATTTTTTAATATTATTTTTAATATTATTTTTAATATTATTTTTTAGTATTATTTTAATATTATTCTTAAAAAATATTCTAAAAAAGAAAAGACTCTTCTGTTGGTGTGTGCTCTCATTTGCTGTCTCCTGCCTGTGTTTGGTCCACATTTGGGCCATTTTTTGGTTAATTTTCCATTTTAAAATTTTTTAATATTATTTTAATATTATTTTTAATATTATTTTAATATTATTCTTAAAAAATATTCTAAAAAAGAAAAGACTCTTCTGTTGGTGTGTGCTCTCATTTGCTGTCTCCTGCCTGTGTTTGGTCCACATTTGGGGCATTTTTTGGTTAATTTTCCATTTTAAAATATTTTTTAATATTATTTTAATATTATTCTTAAGAAATACCAAAAATATTCTAAAAATTCGTTAATATTTACAAAATTTCGTAAATACCAAAACTTTTTTTGGGAAAGTTTTGTAATTATTTTAAATATCGAAACAAAAAAACACCCCAATTACAAATCGATTTTAGAACCAAATTTTTTCTTGATCAAACAGGCCTATGTTCAACATCTACACAAATGACCAGCCACTGCCAGAAGGGACAGAGAGTTTCATCTATGCTGATGATCGTGCCATTACTGCTCAAGCAGGGAGCTTTGAGATGGTAGAACAGAAGCTTTCCGAAGCTCTAGGTGCTCTTACTGCCTATTACAGGGAAAACCAGCTGATCCCTAACCCATCTAAAACACAGACATGTGCCTTTCATCTCAAGAACAGAGAAGCATCCCGAGCTCTGAAGATCACCTGGGAAGGAATCCCACTGGAGCATTGCAGCGCACCCAAATACCTGGGAGTCACTCTGGACCGTGCTCTGACCTACAAGAAGCACTGCCTGAACATCAAGCAAAAAGTGGGTGCTAGAAACAATATCATACGAAAGCTGACTGGCACAACCTGGGGATCACAACCAGACACAGTGAAGACATCTGCCCTTGCACTATGCTAATCTGCTGCTGAGTATGCATGCCCAGTGTGGAACACATCTCACCACACTAAAACAGTGGATGTGGCTCTTAATGAGACATGCCGCATTATCACGGGGTGTCTGCGCCCTACACCACTGGAGAAATTACACTGCTTAGCCGGTACTGCACCACTGACATCTGCTGGGAAATAGCAGCCAATAGTGAAAGGATCAAGGCAGTGGCATCTCTGGCTCATACCCTAATTGGATATCAGCTGGCACGCCAATACCTTAAATCAAGAACAGTTTCCTAAGATCTACAGAGATCTACAGAGAGCACCAGGACTGTGGCACAGCTGGTTGGGAGTCAGCTGCATTAAGATCACTACTGACCAAAAGGTCATGAGTTCGAAGCCAGACCGGGTCAGAGTGAGCTTCTGACAAATTTGTGCAGCTTGCTGTCGACCTTTGCAGCCCGAAAGACAGTTGTATCTGTCAAGTAGGAAATTTAGGTACCGCTTTTGACTAATTTACGAGGCCATAAAATCTCCAGCAAGCATGCAAAGAATGAGGAAGTACTTCATCAGTGTCACAAATGGATGGTGAAGCAACAGCTCCTCTGGTGGCCAGAATTCCCTGGAATGTTAAATAAGCTCTCTGTGTGTCTGACTATATATGTTTTGTGTCTATGGCATTGATTGTTTGCCTGTATATGTACATTGTAATCCGGCCTGAGTCCCCTGCGGGGTGAGAAGGGCGGAATATAAATACTGTAAAAAAATAAATACATAACTACTTGCAGGAACACCTCAGCAAGGAGCCCCCGGTGGCGCAGTGGGTTGAACCCCTGTGCCGGCAGGACTGAAGACTGACAGGTCACAGGTTCGAATCCGGGGAGAGTGCGGATGAGCTCCCTCTGTCAACTCCAGCTCCCCATGCTGGTACATGAGAGAAGCCTCCCACAAGGATGGCAAAACACCAAAACATCTGGGCATCCCCTGGGCAACGTCCTTGCAAACAGCCAACTCTCTCACACCAGAAGTGACTTGCAGTTTCTCAAGTCGCTCCTGACACGACCCAAAAAAAACCTCAGCAAGTGAGAGTCCAAAAGTGGCAGGCAAAAACCAGGAACCTCAAGCTATGGCTGATATTGAATGAGAGACCCCTTTCTTGGCACACAGAAGACTGGGCGACTTGGAAGGCGCTGGACAGACTGCGCTCTGGCACCATGAGATGCAGAGCCAACCTTAAGAAATGGAGCCACAAAGTGGAGTCCACGAAAAGCAAACCGCTGACCACCTGCTGCAATGCAACCTGAGCCCTGCCACATGCACAATGGAGGACCTCCTTGCGGCAACACCAGAGGCACTCCCAAGTGGCCAGATACTGGTCAAAGGACATATAATCAACTACCAAGCTTGCAAACTTTGTGTTTTATTTGTTTGTTAAAAAATGCAACACAACTGTTTGGTTTGCTCCTGACACAATAAGTAAATAATAGATAAACCACTGACCTTTTGGGTGAGAAGATGTCCGAAGTCATGTTTGGTCAACGGAGATGAAAGCCGGAGCGATGGCAGTTGCAGTGGAGGGAAAAAAGACATGAAAGCCGTCACAAGGAAGTATAGACATCATAGACGCTTACCTTCATATTTGCCTCTGACCACAGAATGAGCCACGTTGAAAAGAAGACTCTCGTTAAAAATGAATAAAAGACTCTCTTGTGGACTTTGTACCGCTGGAATTTTGCATGAGGTTCATTCTCAACCCAGGGTGCACCTACACCAGTGTTTTTCAACCTTCCTAATGCCGCGACCCCTTAATACAGTTCCTCATGTGGTGGTGGCCCCCAACCATCACATTATTTTCGTCGCTCCGGCGGGAAGGTAACGGCACTCCATGCAGTCATGCTGGCCACATGACCTTGGAGGTGTCTACGGACAACGCTGGCTCTTCGGCTTAGAAATGGAGATGAGCACCACACCCCAGAGTCAGACATGACTGGACTTAATGTCAGGGGACAAACTTTACCTTTACCTATGAATCGTAATGTAAATATCCAATATGCAGGATGTATTTTCATTCACTGGACCAAATTTATGCCCAAATTTGAATACTGGTGAGGTTGGAGGGGGGATTGATTTTGTCATTTGGGAGTTGTAGTTGCTGGGATTTATAGTTCACCTACAATCAAAGAGCATCCTGAGCTCCACCAAGGATGAGACTGAATCAACCTTGGCACACAGAACTCCTATGAACAACAAAAACTACTGGAAGGGTTTGGTGGGCATTGACCTTGAGTTTGGAGTTGTAATTCACCTATATCCAGAGAGCACTGTGGACTAAAACAATGATGGTTCTGGACCAAACTTGGCATGGATACTCAGTATGTCCAAATGTGAACACTGGTGGAGTTTGGGGAAAACAGACCTTGACATTTGGGAGTTGTAGTTGCTGGGATTTATAGTTCACCTACAATCAAAGAGCATTCTGAACTCCACTAATGATGGAATTGAACCAACCTTGGCACACAGAACTCCTATGAACAACAAAAACTACTGGAAGGGTTTGGTGGGCATTGATCTTGAGTTTTGGAGTTGTAGTTCACCTACATCCAGAGAGAAGTCTGGACTCAAATAAGGATGGATCTGGACCAAACTTGGCATGGATACTCAATATGCCCAAATGTGAACACTGGTGGAGTTTTTTGAAAATAGACCTTGACATTTGGAAATTGTTGCTGGGATTTATAGTTCACAATAACAACAACAATGATGATGATTCCACTATTTCTGTACAACAACAACAACAATGATGATTCCACTGTTTCTGCAGAACAACAACATCAACAATCATGATTTTACTGTTTCTGCACAACAACAACAACAATGATGATTCCACTATTTCTGTACAACAACAACAATGATGATTCCACTGTTTCTGCAGAACAACAACATCAACAATCACGATTTTACTGTTTCTGCACAACAACAACAAAAACGATGATTCCTCTGTTTCTGTACAATAACAACAACAATGATTCCACTGTTTCTGTACAACAGCAACAATAACAGCAACAATGATGATTCCACTATTTCTGTACAAAAACAACGATGATGATTCCACTGTTTCTGTAGAACAACAACAACAACCACAACGATTCTACTGTTTCTGCACAACAGCAACAACGATGATTCCACTGTTTCTGTAGAACAACAACAGCAACCACGATTCCACTGTTTCTGCACAACACCACCAACAACAACAACGATGATTCTACTGTTTCTGTAGAACAGCAACCACAATTCCACTGTTTCTGCACAACAAAAACAACAACAATGGTTCCACTGTTTCTGTCTTGAAAGAGACTCGTAATGCCAAGACTTACCGATAGGAGAGAATGTAGCCGAAGGATCGTTTGTTAACTCTGATCAGAAAGCAACCAAACTCGGTGCCTTTAAGAAGGTCTTCAGCTTGCCTGTTCAAAAGAGAAGGTTTTCCTGAATGTTATGTCTGTGTATTAACCATCCTTATCTACTCTCTGGCTATAGTACTGGGGATTCTGGGACTTATAGTCCAAAGCTGAGATGCTATGTAACATACATAGAATGTAAAGAAAAGAAAAGAAATTCCAATAAATCACCGCAAGTGTACATCCTTGCAGTTGCTACAAGATTCCCATCATCCTCAACCAACTGGTTATGGGAGATTATGGGAGTTGTAGTCCAAGGAGGACATACTTCTTAACACAGAGCATAAATACTAGGTTCTAAATGGTTCTAAAGTACTTACAAAACCAAAGTTCTGGTGGTGAAAACTAGGAAGCACTGGCTTTGCTTCTACAGTGTTGTTAAAGTTCTGGTGGTGAAAATTTCAGAACTCTAACAAAACTTTCAAAATTTCATTATACATGGCAGTTCCTAATTGGTTCTGTCATAAAAATCACCAATAATGAAATAATAAGGAAATTTTGAAAGTTTTGTTAGAGTTCTGAAATTTTCACCACCAGAACTTTAGCAACACTGTAGAAGCAAAGCACCAGCGCCCCCTTGTTTTCACCACCAGAATTTTAGTTTTCTAAGTGCTTTAGAACCATTTAGAAGATTGGATTGTACATCTATATAAATGAAATTGTGATGTTCGTTTGTGGGATTCACAGAACTCAAAAACCACTGGGCGAATTGACACAAAATTTGGACACAAGACACCTAACAACCCAATGTATGTCCTTCACTCGAAAAAAAAATATTTTGTCATTTGGGAGTTGTAGTTGCTGGGATTTATAGGATCAAAGAGCATTCTGAACCCCACCAACAATGGAATTGAACCAAACTTGACAGACAGAACCCCCACGACCAACAGAACACACTAGAAAGGTTTGGTGGGCATTGACCTTGAGTTTGGGAGTTGTAGTTCACCTACATCCAGAGAGCATGATGGACTCAAACTATGATGGATCTGGACCAAACTTGGCATGAATACTCCATGTGCCCAAATGTGAACACTGGTGGAGTTTGGGGAAAATAGAATCTTGACATTTGGGAGTTGTAGTTGCTGGGATTTATAGTTCACCTACAATCAAAGACCATTCTGAATGACAAAACTGGGGCAAACTTCCAACATAGAATCCTCATGACCAACAGAAAATACTTAAGGCCATCCAGTTCAACTGCCTTCACCATTTGGGAGTTGTATTTGGGAGTTGTAGTTGACATTTGGGAGCTGTAGTTGATGGGATTTATAGTTCACCTACAATCAAAGAACATTCTGAACCCCACCAACGATATAATTGGGCCAAACTTGGCACACAGAATTCCCATGACCAACAGAAAATACTGGAAGGGTTTGGTGAGCACTGACCTTGAGTTTGGAGTTGTAGTTCACCTGGATCCAGAGAGCATGTGGACTCAAACAATGATGGATCTGGACCTACCTTGGCATGAATACTCAATATGCCAAAATGTGAGCACTGGTAGAGTTTGGGGGAAATAGACCTTGACATTTCTGAGTTGCAGTTGCTGGGATTTCTAGTTCACCTACAACCGAAAAGCATTCTGAACCCACCAATGATATAATTGGGCCAAACTTGGCATACAGAATTCCCATGACCAACAGAAAATACTGGAAGGGTTTGGTGGGCAGTGTCCTTTGGTTTTGGAGTTGTAGTTCACCTACATCCAGAGAGTACTGTGGACTCAAACAATAATGGATCTGGACCAAACTTGGCACAAATACTCAGTACAAGCCCTACGAGGAGCGGCTTAAGGAGCTGGGCATGTTTAGCCTGAAGAAGAGAAGGCTGAGAGGGGATATGATAGCCATGTATAAATATGTGAGAGGAAGCCACAGGGAGGAGGGAGCAAGCTTGTTTTCTGCTTCCTGGAGACTAGGACGCGGAACAATGGCTTCAAACTACAAGAGAGGAGATTCCATCTGAACATGAGGAAGAACTTCCTGACTGTGAGAGCCATTCAGCAGTAGAACTCTCTGCCCTGGAATGTGATGGAGGATCCTTCTTTGGAAGCTTTTAAACAGAGGCTGGATGGCCATCTGTCAGGGGTGATTTGAATGCAATATTCCTGCTTCTTGGCAAGGGGTTGGACTGGATGGCCCATGAGGTCTCTTCCAACTCTATGATTCTATGATTCTATGATTCTAAATGTGAACACTGGTAGAGTTTGGGGAAAATAGACTCTTGACATTCAGGAGTTGTAGTTCCTGGGATTTATAGTTCACCTTTAATCAAAGAGCATTCTGAATCTCACCAACGATAGAATTGGGTGAACTATAAATCCCAGGAACTACAACTCCTGAATGTCAAGAGTCTATTTTCCCCAAACTCTACACAGAACTCCCATGTGGGCCACAGCAATGTGTGGCAGGGGATGGCTAGTACCTAATAAATACCCAAAACAAATAATTGCATTTGGAAGAATCACCTTTGCAGCCAGAAACATATAGCTGATTTTGGATTTCCATCATCCCCACCCAGTTGATGTGTGGGGATGATGGGAATGGTTGAGCTCTGATATCTAGAAGCTTTCCTGGCTTTGCTTCTCCAAACATGGAAACAAAGGAGGATAATACCCAAGACTACTGAGCTTACTTCCGTGTGATGAAGCCGTGGAACCACGCCGGTAAATCGCCGTCCTGCAAGATAAGGGGCACCTGTGTCGTCAGGAACCACTTCAGCACCAGGTCTTCCAACATCTCCGACGGTCCTTTCTCCAGATCCGAGTTCGATTCTTTCCCCGAAGAGAGCCACTTTGCTCGGTCCTCCATCCTGCTTTCATGCTGGGAAGAGACGGCAATAACCCAAAGGGAAGTAAGGCCTGGAAAAAAAAAAAGAGTGAGAGAAAGAGAAAGGAAAGAGGTGTGTTGGGTGCCTTTCGGCCTCATTTGTTTATCCCTTGCTCTGCTGTAAAATAATCGCGCCTCTTGCAACTACTGCCCTAGGGAGATGCTCAAGGTGTGTCTACACATGATAGTTATCACAGTTTGAGATCACTTTAACAGTCATTGCTCCCTTTGTAGTTTGGGAAGGCACCTGAGCCCCATGGCGGAGGATTCAAAATGCTTCCAACAACAAATCTATGTCTATGGACAGCAGGCTCCTTTGGCATGGAATCATAGAATCATAGAATCAAAAAGTTGGAAGAGACCTCATGGGCCATCTAGTCCAACCCCATTCTGCCAAGAAGCAGGAATATTGCATTCAAATCACCCCTGACAGATGGCCATCCAGCCTCTGTTTAAAAGCTTCCAAAGAAGGAGCCTCCACCACACTCCGGGGCACAGAGTTCCACTGCTGAACGGCTCTCACAGTCAGGAAGTTCTTCCTCATGTTCAGATGGAATCTCCTCTCTTGTAGTTTGAAGCCATTGTTCCTTGTCCTAGTCTCCAGGGAAGCAGAAAACAAGCTTGCTCCCTCCTCCCTGTGGCTTCCTCTCACATATTTATACATGGCTATCATATCTCCTCTCAGCCTTCTCTTCTTCAGGCTAAACATGCCCAGCTCCTTAAGCCGCTCCTCATAGTGCTTTTTCTCCAGACCCTTGATCATTTTAGTCGCCCTCCTCTGGACACATTCCAGCTTGTCAATATCTCTCTTGAATTGTGGTGCCCAGAATTGGACACAATATTCCAGGTGTGGTCTAACCAAAGCAGAATAGAGGGGTAGCATGACTTCCCTGGATCTAGACACTATGCTCCTATTGATGCAGGCCAAAATCCCATTGGCTTTTTTGCCGCCACATCACATTGTTGGCTCATGTTTAACTTGTTGTCCACGAGGACTCCAAGATCTTTTTCACACGTACTGCTCTCGAGCCAGGCGTCCCCCATTCTATATCTTTGCATTTCATTTTTTCTGCCTAAGTGGAGTATCTTGCATTTGTCACTGTTGAACTTCATTTTGTTAGTTTTGGCCCATCTCTCTAATCTGTCAAGATCGTTTTGAATTCTGCTCCTGTCCTCTGGACTATTGGCTATCCCTCCCAATTTGGTGTGTCTACACATGATAGTTATTGCAGTTTGAGATCACTTTAACGGTCATTGCTCGCTTTGTAGTTTGGGAAGGCACCTGAGCCCCATGGCAGGGGATTCAAAAGGCTTCCAACAACATGTTGATGGATTGCATTGGACAAAGCCATCGCTTCGTCCCATGCAATGCATGAAACTGCTATAATTGGACAGTTGCAATTTTAGAGTTTTTTAATACTGGTAGCCAGATTTTGCAAGACCAAGACCAAGAACAAGCCACGAGAATAAAGATGAAGATCCACCCAGAGAAAAAGTGTTCTTGCCATACATCAAGGGAACCACTGACCGCATAGGGAAGCTGATGAGGAAACACAACATACAAACTATCTACAGACCCACCAAGAAAATCCAACAAATGCTACGTTCAGCAAAGGACAAGAGGGATCCTCTCACTTCTGCAGGAGTCTACCGTGTACCATGATGCTGTGGACAAGTCTACAGAGGGACCACCAAACGCAGCATTGCCCAAACACGAATCAAGGAACGTGAAAGGCACGGCAGACTACTTCAACCAGAGAAGTCAGCCATAGCAGAGCACCTGATGAACCAACCTGGACACAGCATATTATTTGAGAACACAGAAATGCTGGACCACTCTAACAACCACCATGTCAGACTACACAGAGAAGCCATTGAAATCCACAAGCATGTGTACAATTTCAACAGAAAGTAGAGACCATGAAAATGAACAAAATCTGGCTACCAGTATTAAAAAACTCTAAAATTACAACAGCAAAACAGGAGAGGAAACAACCAGGCACATCTTAACACCTCTCAACAGGGGATTTTCCCAGGCTCAGCCAGGCCTTCAAATGCTAATGAAGGTGGTCAGTTGAAACATTCACACCTAGCTCCAGCAGAGAAGAGCTCTTTGCCCCACCCCAGTCATTCCACAGATATATAAACCCATTTTCCTAATTCCAACAGACCTCACCACCTCTGAGGATGCTTGCCATAGATCCAGGCGAAACGTCAGGAGAAATGCCTCTAGAACATGGCCCTATAGCCCGAAAAAACCTACAAGAACCTAGTGATTCCAGCCATGAAAGCCTTCAACAATGCATATGAAACATTCACACCTAGCTCCAGCAGACAAGAGTCCTTTGTCCCACCCTGGTCTTTCCACAGATATATAAACCCATTTTCCTACTTCCAACAGACCTCACTATTCTGAGGATGCTTGCCATAGATGCAGGCGAAACGTCAGGAGAAAATGCCTCTAGAACATGGCCATATAGCCCGGAAAAACCTACAACAACCCGAAAACAGTAATGTTTTAATAAACTAGATAATGGTCCATAAAAAGTTTTTGTATTATAGAGTTTATAGTCTTTAGAATGCCAAGATATTTTCTTGGGTTTACTGCAACAAACTATTAACAAAGTTTGGACACTATACCCCTAACAGACCAAGGAGTGACCACCACTCATAAAAAAAATCCCAAAACAGTGCTAAGAACTTAAAAAACCCCAAAAGCTAAATGACGAAAACTAAACAAGGATACAGAAAAAGGGAAGAAAGAGGGAAGAAAGAAAGAAAGAAAGAAAGAAAGAAAGAAAGAAAGAGGGAGGGAGGGAGGGAAAGAAAGGGAGGCGGGATGGAATTAAAAAGTGAAGGAAGGAAGGAAAGAGGTAGAGAAGGAAAAAAGGAAAGAAGGAAGGATGGAAGCAAAAAGTGAAGGAAGGAAGGAAAGAAGCAGATAAGGAAAAAAGGAGAAAAAGAGGGAGGGAAGGAAAAAAGGAAAGAAAGAAAGAAGGATGGAAGCAAAAAGTGAAGGAAGAAAGGAAGGAAGCAAGCGAAGGAAGGAGAGAGAGGAAAAAGGAGAGAAAGAGGGAGGGAAGGAAAAGGAAAGAAGAAGAAGGAAGAAGAAAGAGAGAAGGAAGAAAGAAGAAAGAGGGAGGAAGAAAGAAGGAAGAGAAGGAAGGAGGAGAAAAGGAAGGAGAAAGAGGTAGAGAAGGAAGAAAGGAGAGAAAGAAGGAAGGATGGAAGCAAAAAGTGAAGGAAGGAAGGAAGGAAAGAAGCAGATAAGGAAAAAAGGAGAAAAAGAGGGAGGGAAGGAAAAAAGGAAAGAAAGAAAGAAGGATGGAAGCAAAAAGTGAAGGAAGAAAGGAAGAGCAAGGAAGGAAGGGAAGAAGGAAAAAGGAGAGAAAGAGGGAGGGAAGGGAAAAAGGACAGAAAGAAGCAAAAAGTGAAGGAAGGAAAGAGACAGATAAGGAAGAAAGGAGAGAAAGAGGGAGGGAAGGAAAGAAGGAATGAGAGAAGGAAGGATGGAAGCAAAAAGGGAAGGAAGGAAAGAGGTAGAGAAGGAAGAAAGGAGAGAAAGAAGGAGGGTAGAAAAGAAGGAAAGGGAGAATGAAGAATGGAAGCAAAAAGCAAAAGAAGGAAGGAAAGAGGTAGAGAAGGAAGAAAGGAGAGAAAGAAGGAGGGAAGGAAAGAAGGAAGAGAAGAAGAGGAAGAAAAAGCGAAGGAAAGAAGAGAAAGTGAAGGAAAAGAAAAAGGAGGAAGGAAGGAAAGAGGTAAAAGAAGGAAGGAGAAAAGGAAAGAAAAAAGAATGGGGAAGGAAAAAAGGAAAGAGGGAGCAAAGGAAGGAGAGAAAGAAGGAGAGAAAGAGGGAGGGAAGATAGAGCTTGGCGGGTACAGTTAGTCAATATAAATTAAAATGTAATGTTCGTTTGTGGGATTAACATAGCTCAAAAACCACTGGATGAATTGCTGCCAAATTTGGACACTAGACACCTACTAATCCAAGGAGTGACCATCACTAAAAAAAATGATTTTGTCATTTGGGAGTTGTAGTTGCTGGGATTTATAGTTTACTTACAATCAAAGAACATTCTGAACTCCATCAATGTTGGAATTAAACCAAACGTGGCACACAGTTCTCCTATGACCAACAGAAAACACTAGAAGGGTTTGGTGGGCATTGACCTTGAGCTTGGGAGTTGTAGTTCACCTACATCCAGAGAGCACTGTGGACTCAAACAATGATGGATCTGGACTAAACTTGGAATGAATATTCCATATGCCCAAATGTGAACACAGATGGAGTTTGGGGGAAATAAACCTTGACATTTGGGAGTTGTAGTTGCTGGGATTTATAATTCACCTACAATCGAAGAGCATTCTGAACCCTAGCAACGACAGAATTGAGGCAAATTTCCGAGGCAGAACCCCCATCCTTAAGGCCATCCAGTCCAACTCCCTTCACCAGGGCAAGAAAACATAATCAACGCCCTCCTGACTAAGAGCAATCCAGCTTAGATATCGATAGATAGATATGATTCACACACACACACACAGATATAGTATCCTAGATTTGAAGGAGACCCTTAAAGAAGGACAATGATATGTTGCATGTTCCAGGGTGGGCAAACCAGACAATCTCCACATCAACACTGACAAAGAAACAGCAAGAAATACTGTTTACCCACAAAGCATCAAGAAATTACATAGATTAGAAACCAACACTTTCTCATTACTTTATTTTCCAGATCACCAGACTGGGCCACAGAAGTCCGTGGCAGGGGACGGCTAGTGTGTGTGTGTGTGTGTGTGTGTGTATCCTATATGCTTTTAACAACATAGCATATAATATACATGCTAATGGTTGCATCCAAACAATGTCAAATAAATGCAGTCTGACTCAATACTATGGATTCAAGGGAGTTGCAGTTTGACATCTCTGCCAAAGAATGCTAGTGCAAACTACAACTCCTTGAGCTCCATAGCATTAAACCAGAGCACTAAAAGTGGGGTTAAACAGCATTCATTCTATAGTGTAGTCTGTAGTGTATAGTGTAGATGCACCAGTTTATAGTGTAGCGTATAGTGTAGATACACTAGTGTATAATGTCGTGTATAGTGTAGATGCACTAGTGTATAGTGTACTGTATAGTGTAGATGCACTAGTGTATAGTGTACTGTATAGTGTAGATGCACTAGTGTATAGTGTAGTATATAGTGTAGTTGCACTAGTGTATAGTGTAGATACACTTGTGCATAACGTCGTGTATAGTGTAGATGCATTAGTGTATAGTGTAGGGTATAGTGTAGATACACTAGTGCATAATGTAGTGCATAGTGTAGATGCACTAGTGCATAATGTAGTGTATAGTGTAGATGCACTAGTGCATAATGGAGTGCATAGTGTAGATGCACTAGTGCATAATGTAGTGTATAGTGTAGATGATCTAGTGTATAATGTAGTGTATAGTGTAGATGCATTAGTGCATAATGTAGTGTATAGTGTAGATGCACTAGTGCATAATGTAGTGCATAGTGTAGATGCACTAGTGCACAATGTAGTGTATAGTGTAGATGCACTAGTGTATAGTGTAGTGTACAGTGTAGATACACTAGTGCATATTGTAGTGTATAGTGTAAATACACTAGTGTATAGTGTAGTGTATAGTGTATATGCACTAGTGCATAATGTAGTGTATAGTGTAGATGCTCTAGTGTATAGTGTAGTGTATAGTGTAGATGCTCTAGTGTATAATGTAGTGTACAGTGTAGATACACTAGTGCATATTGTAGTGTATAGTGTAGATACATTAGTCTATAGTGTAGTGTATAGTGTAGATACACTAGTGTAGTGTATAGTGTAGATACATGAATGTATAGTGTAGATGCACCCAAAGGCACAAAAACCCAACAACAGTACAACTGTTCCAACGGTGCCACTTTCCTGAACCCTGCTTCAGATGGAAAAAATAGGAAAAAATTACCTTTGTTTAAAGACATTTTTGCATGGTGTCAATAGCACCGTTGTGTGCTTCGGTTTGCAAACTCGTGGCTATGCAAATCCTCCATTTCTGTTTCATTACAACCATCTTTCTGGTTTTTATCACTATTGGTTGTTGTTCTGAGGCTCAAAGTAGTATCTGCTTGAGTGCCATGGCTTAGGGTGTGCATTTACACAGCAGCAAAAGTGGTGTTGATTCGAACTGAATTAATTCTACAATGCTGATGCTCCCTAAGATCCAAGCTATTAGTTTATCCCAATGGAACATTTTACAAGTGATTACATCTAGACTGTAAATTGCCAAAGGGGAAAAATGCAAATTGTGGCATGCTAGGTGACTCTCTATGTCACTATCGGTGGTTTTTTTTTTTAAAGGAACACATTATAAATATAGAAGGAAAATATGCAAATCCTGAGGTTTGCCATACTATTTGCATATCTCACTTCATTGCCTGAAAACTGGACAGTCTTTCAACCAAATGATGCAACATATATAGAGCTTCAAAAACCTCCCAATATGGCATTTTTGAAGGTAAGGGCTGTGTGTCCAAGTGGAAACCTGGGTTGCATCTACATTGCACAATTAATGCACCTTGTCTCCACTTTAACCGCCATGACTCAATGCTATGGAATCAAGAGAGTTGTAGTTCTACAAGGTCTTTTGCCTTCTCTGCCAAGGATGGCTGATACGAGGGGCGTTCATTAAAGATCTCCCCTGACCCACTTCTATTTATCACAGG